TGACGTAACGCAATCGGTGTAAATTCACTATACCATGGTCTAACATATACAGTGGCTATACCTGGAAATTCTAAACCCCCCTAACATATACAGTGGCTATACCAGGCATAGCCAACATACGGCCTGTCTAATGAATTTATGTGGCCCGCAATTAATCTTCCAATATTAGATACTCAAGTCCGAATGGCTCGATGATAAATTCTGATGCCTAAAAAAAAAGGTCAACAACTCATTTTCAAATTGCCCCCTTAACAATCGAATTGCCCCTTTGTGGGGTGTGGGCCCCACGTTGGGAAACACTGATCTATAAACTTTCTCCTTTATCTATAAATTTCTTTCTCCTTTCTTTAACATTCTCTTCTATCTCTTTTACTTTCTCTCTCTATCTCTTTTCTCCTGGTCGGTGTCGAGCAGTGGGTCAGATGGGAAGTATGCAAACAAGGCAGGGGGTACTCCTCCCCGTCGTGTCTCCACCTTGTCGTGGTGGGGAGGCTTGGTGATCTGTGCTGCAATGTCTTGATGGGGATTTCTCGTCAGAGTGTTGCGGCCGGGTCCAACTAAGAGAGACACACACCAATGCCGAGCAGGAAGGCAGAGGTAGCTTTCTGCCTTATCTTTGAGTAAGCCCTGTTAAAAAAGTCACGTGGCTGGTGAAAACCACTCTTTTATAGATGTTTAGTCTTTGGTCCTCGGAGTGCTTCAAGAATATTCTAATTATCGGTGTGTAAACAAGCATCAAGCTTTGACTGGAAGCATCTTTTAGACATGCTTGACACTTTTTAATCTTTTTAATCTAGCCCATTTTAGTGTTTTGATATACAGATGCCGAGTATAGGAAAATACTTCATATAGCAAATACATTACTTAATTTTCATAAGTAAACAGAACAGAATTTGCAAGAACCAAACTATTGTACCAGTGGCGTGCCGTGAGACTTGATGATAGGGAAGCTTGTTTCTGTAAGAAGCCGACTTCCAGGGGCAATCAGTTAAGTCTTTCTGTAAATGTATTTTTAATAGATTATTTATCCGACGTACTTAATAAACAAGTTTAATATAATTACCTCTGTTATTAAATCCAATATATTTCACATGCCCTCTAAATGCCAATTCTCGCTTTGATGAAAACATATAACATCTATTTATTTAGATATAATATATCTATTAGCAGTAACTATCTTATCTAAGCTTTATTTTGTTTAGACTACAGTATTATATCATCATATATATTTGTATGTAAAACTTATATATTATACTTTACACTTTACATTTTTCTGTTAATTGACTATTACTTATTATGTTTAATTTTAAGTTATTAATCTAGCTTATTATTTATAATGCAGATTTACATGTATGACAGATGACATTGAATGTGTTACGGTATATATCTTATGTAAATACATTGAAGCATATTACTTTATATTCCTGTGTTCAACCTTAAACATGTATAAACTGGTTGTGCTATTGCAGTACCAGTGATGCAATATTGTTGCATTAATAAAGAGATTGTGTGTGTGTATCTTAAGTTTAGGAGAAGGAGATGGTGAAAGGTATGTTTTTAGGTTTGAAGAGTACAGACCCTAAAAGGGGAGGCGGGCAAAGAAAATGTTGGTAGATAGAGGCAAAAGTGATGTTGGAGTGTCTCAAATTTTCTTGTACAGTACATTAAATAGTAAGTGGCAATTAAGTGTGTTTAATTAACTGGTAGGGGCCAAAGTATTGATACCAAGGAACAGGGGGGGGCAAGCGACCTATATAAGTTATAGCGTGATGTGTTGAATGGGGTGAGCAAGGGGAGTTTACAGTGTTTTAGTGCACAATAGTTAAGCTAGAATAATTGTAATGAGGTTTGTTATATTGAGAGCAATGGCCACCCAGAAAGAGGAGGGCAGTTGAGGGATTTTAATTTGGTGATGTTATGCTAATATTAATTAATGATGTAATTTATTTTTAAATTTAAGTCCTAAAGTGGCATTATTGCAATGAATTTTTAATTTTTAGGTCAAAAGTGCCGTTAAAGGGGTTCTAGGAGGTAGGTTGAGGATTCTAATTTAGTGTTATTATTATTATTTTTTACCATTTACTGATGTAATATTTTTGATATTAGTTCCAAAAGGGCCTTTCAAGGAGCTTGAAAGGAAGGTTGGGGATTTTAATTTGGTTAGGTTATTACTGTGCTAATAATGGTTATAGATGTATTTTTAGTTTTAAATCAAATGTGCCTTCCAGAGGGCATGAGAGGTAAGGTGTGTAATTTTAATGGTGCTATTACTATGCGATTATCGGTTATTGATTTAATGTAATTTTAATTTTAGATCCAAAATACCATTCTAGAAGAAAGTAATAGGAGTGATTTTAATTTAGTGTTATTATTACTATACTAATATCAATTGCTGTGATGTATTTTTAAAGTTAGACCAAAGAGCCTTTCAATGGCCCCAACATAGATACCTTCTTAAATCTATTTATGTTTTTGTCGCTATCTGGACCCTCCTCTGACTCGTCGGACCGCATTACAGCGCTCCGACACTCCAGTTGTCGTCGCAATCGGGGTATTTATGTTTTTGTCGCTATCAGGATCCTCCTCCCTATGATTCAATTTTAGATAAAAGAATTGTTCTATATAAATGCATATACTGTATATGGAATAATTTCAATATATATATAAATGTAAGAGTATCATATAAAAATTTATTAAAAAAATATAATTTCATATATAAATATGAATTTATGTTATGTAATTTATACCTATAACTATAATGAGTTACATTGTATTTTCTCCTATAAAATGAAATAATATATCTTCACTTGCAACTCTTGCATATAGTGATTATGTACGGTTATTCGAAAAACAAATCATGTAAGTAAATTTAATTTTTAAACTATTTACATCAATTCAATTTGCAAAGTAAACTGACGCTTGTAAAGTTGTAAGTGATAAGTTTGTTTTCCTTCGAGCCGATCAAAAGTTAACAGGTAAACAACTTCCAGTATTCTCACTCCTCCATAGGTAAATTGTGAAGTGACCACGTCAACTGACAGAGAAACAATAGTCCATTGGCCAATATTTAATTTTGTCTAATTTACGTCTTCCACCTATCTCGCTTCTAGATTAATTGGATTATTATTAAACATCCGTTTAAGAATTTTAGAAGACTATCTCCCTTCTTTCAGTATGTTAGAAGTTTATCTCCCTTCTGTCGGGAAGTTTGTTGTTCTTGTTCGTTTATTGTTGTTGTATACTAAATGTGGTTCCCTCTGAAAACTTCTTACCATCAAATTTTTAAATATGTTACATAGGCGTGAAAACTGTAGAAAAAAAACCGACACTGAATGGAGCTTCATATTCTTTAATTTAAATTTTNAAAAGAGAAAAAGGAAAAATAAAATTAATAAAAACCTCGATTCCCACGAGTTAGGTTCCGTGTTGAGATGAGTACATTTCTGTGTCACCCGTCACCTCATTGGACCAAAAAGATAGTCATCGCTGACGAAATCGGAGAAAGGTTCGAAAAAAAGGACTTGATATAAAAGGGACAGGAACGATGAGTAAGGGGGTGGAAGTTATTATTGGTATCTGTGTGCGCGCTCCGATCGTCTACCTCCCAATCAGATATTCTATAAAAAAGCAATAGGATAGCTGCTATACTGTTCGGAGATTGTTTATTCCAAGGTATGTTGCTGATAACGTGACAATAGTCACAACTCCGTAAACTAAAAACATCCTAATTTCCTTTTTCCATTTCTGTAAGAAAGATGAATAGAAGTATTTAATAAAAATTTATATATTTTTCACTTACTGAGACTAAGAGTATTACCTACTTTGTCTTCTTCTTGGACCTGTTGTTGCTGAAAGAAGAATAGTGGTATTTAATAAAATTTTAAATTTTGAAGAATTTATACTTCAAAAGTCATTGTAACTCTCCTCTGTGGTAGTTAAAGGATTAAAAGATAGACTCAAAAATATATAAAATTTTTTGTAAATAGTATTACCTACCATTACTATTTGATGTTTTTGTTTGGTGTCTTTTTAAGCTTTCATTGTGTTTATATTGTTTCGGACATTGGGAACAAATTTAATTTTTATCGTCAGAATGAGTAATCTCATGTTCTTGTAATTTTGATGGAAAACCGAAAGCTTTTCTGCATTCGGAACATATGTATATATATTTTTATTTTCGGATTCCTATTAAATAAGTAAGAATATAATACAGTAAATGTCGGTTAAGCCAGCACTCGATACAATCATGCAAAAGATCGATAAACAAACGTTTTCGAACCCCTTCTGGGCTCTGCTTCAGGGTCCAGTCAGTTTCTATAAAGATGTTCGATAGCCGTTAGACGTAGAAATTTGTTCGATCATGTCGTTTAAAGCTTGAATTTGAGTTGTAGGTTCGAATGGATTAACACAATCCAAGTCGCTCATGCGTGACCAGTTCGCCCGTCAGAGTTTGTTGGATGAATTAGAGCGTGTTGTGAATTAACTCCTGCCAGGCCATCGATAACAGCATCTCTTTTTTAAAATTTATGCACGTGTTGGTGATGGAGGATATAAATATGTGCATAGCATCTAGCCATTTGAGGTGTTCAATAGGAGGCCAATCGTGGAGGAGAATGGCCTGGGAAANGCTGGCTAAATGTACTAGTGAGTTGGAAATGTATAAGACATTAGATAGAGCTAATGTTAACACGATTTATGTTATATAATTACGTTAAACAACTAATTAAATAATAATTATGACAAATTATTAATATAATTTTATAGATTAGTAAATAGAAAATATTAATATTGTTAAAATATTATTATATGAGACGTTAATTAATATGCGTTTCTTTAAAATAAAACGCCCTTGTAACGGGCGAAAGCCTTCTACGCCAATAAAGATTACATACATACTTACAAGAGCCAACAAATCGAAGGACATGGTGGTAACGAAAATATCTTAAAAATTAATTAAAAATAAAAATTTATTTGAGTGACGTGCTTGAAAGGTGTAATTGATAGTTAGAGAATAATCCAACAAGATCAAGAAAAATTCGATAATAAAAAGTAAGTTCGTTTTGTCAAAATACCTTTACGTCAATTTGACATAATTTTTATATTTTTATGATAAAGCATAATAATGACAGCAATTTGACGCGAAAGTGTACGTTATTCTGACAAGATAAATACATAAAAAATAAATTATTTTCTGATTATGGAAATTGCTTTTTCATTTTATATATTGTACAGTATTGCGACGTTATAAAATAATTTCAATAAAATAAAATGATCATCAGGAAACGGAACAGACGGTCTTCATTAAAAATTGCTATTAACATTGGTTAACTTACAAATTTTCTCAACAAATCACAAACATGCATAAAAATCATATTTAAAAGATCACAAGAAAAATATTTGATCATAAGACAAATATGTAGTTTCGTAACCGTTTTCACAAATCTGTTAATTTATTAATTTATAAATATAAGGCTTACTTAATCATTTTATTTTAATAACTTTATCAATTAAACTTGCAAGACTATTCATTTGGATGAAATTTTTTCTGTACTGTTTATACTGTAGGAAAAAGAAATTAAAGATCCATTTTTCAATCAGCGTGTACATTTTTGGATCTTAGTCAAAGCCGGAAAGAATGGAATTACTTGCGATTTTTTTATCGAACCATCAACCGGTGAAAGAATAAATTTAAATTCTCCTGATTATAGATTTGTCGAAGCTGTTTGGAACAGCAGTAATTTTTGGATTAACTTAAGATCTAAGAAACAGGTGTTTAACATTTTGTATTATCCTATAGTTTTATGTATATTGTTTGATGTTATAATAACTTTTAAATTATACATTAGTATGTAGTTTAATCACAAGTATTAAATCTTCAATATTTATTCTTCAGAATGTGTTATTTGATTTGAAAAATGAGAAATTTTGGATGAAAGTTTTCCCCATTAAATTAAATACCAGTACAGCAGAAAATAATAAATCTTCATTAATTAATGTAATCATTATTTCTACTTTGATTTTTCTATATTGTTATTAAAAGCATTAAAAGTTAAATTTTAAATAGGACCAAATAGTTATGCCCGTATCTTGGACAGAACCCTTTAATATATCTAGCAAAGGTAATTAACATATTTCGGAAAATTTAAAAATTTTTAACAATAATTCTTAAAAACTATTTAAATTTTAGATTTTTATAGAAGATTTCCTAATGGAGCAAAATTAAGATGTTATAGTTGTTTAAAATATCAGAGATTCGCACCTTTTTATTCTGATGACGGACTTATAAGTGAAATTGATTACTATTCTGATAAAGATTGTAAGTAAAAATATTATATATATTTTATCTATTATTTACTTTAAAAATATTAAAAATACGTAAATAATTTTAGACAAATCACTGATAAAAGTTGAAAAAGTTTTTAAAAATCGAAACGATAATATGAAGAAACAAATTATAGATCGTCAAAAACAGACAATCCATGAATACTTTTTACCATTTAGAAAGGATAGTTTAAAAGGTAAGATTTTGCTTTCTTTTTTAATTACAATTTTATAAAACTCAAAAACTCAATTCTAAAGAATTACAATAACTGCAGTTGTGGATGATAATCAAAAAATTTTGTATTATCATCTTAATACCTCTAAAATAATCTTTAATTATCGAAACAGAACATATTTATAATGTGGACGACTCGAAGAAACCAGACGATGAAAGAACAATGATTTTCTATAGTGATTCAAGATTAGATGGTTTAAATAAATTAGTTCGAACTACAGATAAGCTTACAGAAGAATATACTGCAAGAGAAGATAGACTTTGTGAAAGAACTATCAGATATCACAATGTTAGCATTTTGCTTCGTCTAGCTGCAAAAGACAATTCAGACTTTAAAATTTTAGTAAGTTATCATTTGCTGTCGTTATTTCATATATTTAATTTTCTAATATATAATAAAAATTAAAGAGTATCGAAGAAACGTTTTCAAGAAACTACGATCTTTCTGCCGATCAAGATATTTATAAGAAAAGATATTTAATAGAAGATGAGACGTATCTTTTAAAATTTCAAACGGCAGATGATTGCATTAGCCATTCTCTTATAGACATAATAAAACCAAAAGAGAAGAAAAAAGGACATGGTTTTGTATTTACTCACGAAATGTGGTCTGGATTTCAGGTAAATTTGTATTGTTTTATGGACAGAAAATCAGCCTATTAACAATATGTAGCCTTTAAATTATATAAATATTATTATTACCAGTGGTTTTAATGTTTTGTATCGTCATAAATTTGGAAAAACTCTTTAGCTTGTTATATTTAAACATTTTTAACAGTGATCTTGTTTGGTTCTTCTTAAAAATTACTCGTCTTCTAGTAACCATGGCCCTATTTCATACAGTTCGTTTTCTAATTCAGCCAGTACCAGAACAGGCCATAGCACTATATGGAGAAATATAAGAGAAAGTAAAAAATGGATGAATATTAATAATATCGTACTTACAAGAGCCAACGCTGGCTAAATGTACTAGTGAGTTGGAAATGTATAAGACATTAGATAGAGCTAATGTTAACACGATTTATGTTATATAATTACGTTAAACAACTAATTAAATAATAATTATGACAAATTATTAATATAATTT